TTAAAATTAAAAAATTGCAAACAGAATGAAAACCATAGAATAATGCCATTTATATAAATTAAAAACAGATGCATATACAAAACAGCACCATATGTGTTTCAAAGAATTACACATATCCAAAGACATCTGTACGTAATAGAATTGTGCCTATAGTGAGGATGCTGGTAAATTAAATGAAAATGGGGGATGAATGAAAAACAATAAAAAGAAAATAAAAGAGATACCTTTGCATGGATAGTTGAGATACATGCTGGGTTTTAGCGAGCATTAACTCAACACCTTGCTTAAAAAGATATACATTATATAGCCATAATGTGTGTGCTCTGTAATATAAAGAAGAACAAATGCTACACATGAACCAAAATATACACAAATATTCTCCTTGGTTCTTTAGATGGTCCCAAAACATGCCAGGCTTGTATCATTTTCTTAAGGAAGATTATGCCATTGTCCCATCATCTTCAGTGATCTCTACCTATCCTATGACACTCTTCAAAACACAGTTTAAGTTCTACATCTTTAAAACCTTTAAAATTGTTTCATTCATGTAAATGACTTCCTGAAACCAATTGCTTTTATAAGCTGTACCACAACATCTAAAACTTAACTACCATTAACCCTCCCTTGCCCTGTATTATGTCTTGCTCAGGGTTTCCTTTACTAGATGTTAACTTTCTAGAAATCAGAGAGATTTCTTTGAAGCTTTCTGCTGTGCCTAGTGCAATGTTGTACTCAAGGTTGGAAGACATCAAATCCTTATTGGTCTATATATGTTATTTTCAGTTAAAAATATCACATAGTAAGTAAAAAAAAAAAATATGTACAGACTAGTACTTAAAAACCTGAGAAGAAGCTGAGCTTCATTCATTTTAGTATCTGGCTAGTGATAAGATAGACTTGAAGCACAGAACGTACCCAACACATATTTGCTGAAAGAATGTGTCAGAAAAATGGACTAGACTAGAGAGGACCTCAGTAAGCATTTTGGTTAATAGATTTTTAATTAAGATTTGAAATTGTGATACAAAGGTATGTATAGGCAAGATTATAGCTGAAGTTTGAAAAAAATGATCTTTTTGCGTTGAAAATTAGTTTCAAAAGTAGAGAAGAATAGAACTAGAATAATTGCTATCACACTATGAATGGAAGAGCCCTTCAATCAATGAAGTAGGTAAAGCTTGCTTTAAGTTCCTCACCTTTTTAAAGCCCCTCTTTCTTTTCTTGGTGCTTCTTGTCTAGGATATTTTGTCTTCAATAAATCTTCACCTGTGACAGCCTACTTATATGCTTTCTGATTTTCTCAGGCCATGAAAAACTATCACTATTTTTCCCCTGAACACTTAGAAAATTTTATTTTTACTTCAAATAAAGCTAGCAAAAGCCAACTCAAAATGTGCTTTCTCAATCTAGAACTCTTTTAAGGGAATTATTTTCTTATGTTTTTGATGAATATTATCATTTTCTCGTGATTACCAAATGTATGAATTATTTTTATATGCTAAATTGTGGTAGGTCATTCCTCTGCTGGTCATGAAAGGACGGAATGTCCCACATAGTGGAGGTGATAAACTGAGTTCTCACTGAGACTCAGAGTCTCATTCAGTTGTGCTCTGCAACTGATCTGAATGAGAACCAATGGTTCTCTCTCTGAAAGGGGTCTGGAACTTGGTGTGATTCAAGAGATTGGAGCTTTGAAACAAGAAGCTATATGCAGCTTGCTCTTGAGCAGATCCACATCTATTCTGCACATTCCAGAAATGCACAGAATAGATGTGGATCTGCTCAAGGAAATGGTGGATGAAGGGAATATAATGCAAAATGGAAAGAATCATGGAAATGATGTAATAAAACACCTATACAATATCTATTGCAATTAAGTACTAGTTTTGTGATCTTGACCAAGTCAGAAACATCTCTGAAACTTTGTTTTCCTTTTTGTATGATAAGGAGAGTGGAAGATCTCAAATTCTTATTGATCTATAAATGTTATTATCAGTTGTTATAAGCAAAATTTTGATACTGCAAAATAAATAGCACTCGAAGATAAATCCTCTCAGCAAGGCAGTTTACTTCTATAGAAAGATGTGGCGCATGGATGGAGCAATGGTGGCCACAAGCCTGTACAAGGAGGGGAAAATGTACTTACGCCTGACGGGGGTCTCCCCTACTGCTGTGTCGTTCCCTTGTTGGCTTGGGTTAGACCACACAAGCTAGACTTATACCCATTGACTATTTTAAAGAGAGCAGGGGTCCGAGCTGGAGTGGCAGGTTGGTGGTTTGGTGGGAAGGGTGATTACGAGCAGGGCAGAGCAGGTAGCCAGGGTGACCTAGGTCAAAGAAGGTGACCGGAGCAAGGTGACTGAGGCAGGTGACCATTATGAGTCAGGACAGAGCTAGGGCCCAGGGGGAACACATGTGTACTACAAGGAAGTTGAACTTTAAAACAGAGAATTAAAGAATAAGAGAGCTGAACATACCGACATACTGATTCTTTGAGGAGAATCTTGGGGCTCACTATATCTAACACAGTTAATAAGTTCACATGGCTGGTAAAAAAAAAAATATGTGCAGATGAGTGCTTAAAAAACATGAGAAGCTGAACTTCATTCATTTAATAACTGGTAGTGATAAAATGGACTTGAGGTACAGAAGGTACTCAGCAAACATTTGTTAAATGAATGCATTCCGAAAAATGGACTAGACTGGAGAGAAAGTAAAGTCATGATACAGCGCCCCTAGACCAAAGAGACTCTCAGGCTGGGTATGTAGGCGGCAGAGGAAAGAACTTATTGAAGACTGGTAGGAAGAAGTCCTATTTATCCAGGGGTCAGAATCAGGGAAAAACTGCAGGAGCCATGGTAGCTGTAGCATAAAAGTTCTGAAGATACCAATACCTATAGCAGGCGTCCCCAAACTAAGGCCCGTGGGCCGCATACGGCCCCCTCCCGCCCTCCACCGCACTTCAGGAAGGGGCACCTCTTTCATTGGTGGTCAGTGAGAGGAGCACAGTATGTGGCGGCCCTCCAACGGTCTGAGGGACAGTGAACTGGCCCCCTGTGTAAAAAGTTTGGGGACGCCTGACTTATAGAGGAGACTAGCAATCATGTTTTAGAAAATTAAGATTCACAATAGAAATGCCTCCTCAGATATATGTTAAATAACGTGTCTAAAACTTGAGTTTACATTTGAGGCAGCTATAATAAAAGGCAAGGCAAGGAAGGGGAGTGATGAGCCCACTTAAATCACCCTAGGCTTTGGAATTTAACAGACAAGAGTATAACCAAGCTCTACCATTCACTAATGATACAAATATTGACAAAATATTAATTCTCTGAGACATCTAGAAAATGAAAATTTTTATTCTGTCAGATGAAGATTGTAGTATCTACTTTGTAGACATCTTTTGAAGATTCATGAATATGTAAAAGGGACCTGGCCGGGCGCGGTGGCTCAAGCCTGTAATCCCAGCACTTTGGGAGGCCGAGGAGGGTGGATCACAAGGTCAAGAGATCGAGACCAGGCTGGGTGCGGTGGCTCAGGCCTGTAATCCCAGCACTTTGGGAGGCCGAGGCGGATGGATCACGAGGTCAGGACTTTGAGACCAGCCTGGCCAACATGGTGAAACCCCCACTCCAAAAAAATTCAAAAATTAGCCGGGCACGGTGGCGAGCGCCAGTAATCCCAGCTACTTGGGAGGCGGAAGAATCGCTTGAACCCCAGAGGCGGAGGTTGCAGTGAGCTGAGTTCCCGCCACTGCACTCCAGCCTGGGCGACAGAGCAAGACTTTCGTCAAAAAAAAAAAAAAAAAAAAAAAAAGGACCTAAAACATGCTTCACATGATTTATTCTTTATGACTATTATTATTTTTATTGTTTCTGTAGATTTTATGCTGAATAAGGTATAAGCCAACTCAATATTCATCTTGCCTTCAGTGAAAGAACTTGTAATTTGTAAAATAATGGCGTCTTTATTCTCCTGTGTGCTTTTTTCCTCTTTAATGCTCTTTTAAGCCCTTTCCTCCCCACCCAAAATTCTACTTTTGCCTCAGTAGTACTAAGGAGGAAAAAAAGGACCTTTCCTCACTCAGTCTAGAGTAGCTTAACAATAAAATTAATCCGAAGGTTGCTTGCCGGTAGATAGGCTATAGTCAACAAACAATACACTTTGTTTATAACTGCTAAATCAAATTTTCAAAGAAATGCAGCTCTGGTGAATGGTAAGCAAAAACATGAAAACGGTCTGAGTTCGTTTTGAAGTTACCTTCATCTTCAGGATGTTTTAAACTCTGTTGGAGACTGGCGGGCCTCATCCTGTCAGGTTGTAGGTTAATTCCCCAATTCAGCTTCTCTGATCAAACATTATCAGGCCAGGCGACTGTTTCGGTTCAAGGATGATACCAGGGTAGGCAAAGAGCAGAAGACGGAGGGAGGGCTGGGCTCCTCCTCTAAATTTTGACCCAAGCTTTCATATGAGGAAATTATTTTCAAGGGCTTAGCGCAATAGCAGTTCCACAATCGCAGATAGAAAGCATGATTTCTCTAGAAAAAACGTGTCTGAACCTATGAAGCTGTGTGTGCATATCAAGTCTAGGGGATACGCTCGGGTCAAGTCACGCGACCGAAGAGCGGAAAACGGAGCGTCCTGCATGCAAGCGTGCTGGGCGTTTGTTTGGTGTGCTTGCTTGCTTCGAGTATCCGCTCGGAGGGACTGGCGGCTAGAAGTCAGAGGCACTGACTGATGAGGACATGCTGAAGCGCAGCCCACGAGGTGCTGAGGTACTCAAAATAGGAGGATAAGGTATGAGAGGAAACAAAGGTTGGAGTCGAACAAAGGCGCCTTTGCGTCGCAGAATGCAACCTGAAGCGGCTCGCGGCTCCCTGAAGGGTAACCTCGAGAGACCCAGCGAGGTAGGCAGAAAACCCGGGAGCCGCGCCTCCGCCGCGGCCCCGCCCCCACGGAGCCACGCCCCGCAGCGCCGGAACCAATAGGAGCCAGGGATATTAGCGGGTGGGAGGTGCGGCTGGGTTGCCACAGCCAGAGCTGGGCGGTGGCGGGCGCTGCTGGAGGAGTCTCGCCGAGCTCGAGGCGGCGGCGCAATGGAGGGACTGGAAGGTGAGGAGGGGAAGGGATGCGGGCAGGGCGGCTAGAGCGGGCCCGGAGCAGCTGGGGTCCCTGGACACCAGTAGCAGGGAGGCGAGGGCAAGCTTGGAGCGGCGGACTCCGCCACGTTCCCGCCGCGCCTCTGGAGGCCGGAGCCGAAGGGAGCCGGCCAGCCCAGATGCGGCGGAGCGAACGCTCACAGGCTGCCCCGCCTTAGTCTTCAGCTGGGCTTGTCCGCCCGGAGCCCGTTCCTGCTTCTGGCAGCACGCCTGCACGTCTCTTCCTACAATTTTCTGATCTTGCCTGACTTCTGAGTGCCCTTTTAGTGATCCCAGTCTCTGGCCAGATTTTGTTTTCCTTGCAGACTGGACTCTATCCATTATTGTCCACGGCCTTAACGTCGCCAGGCCAGTTTGTGCCGGAGCCCCGGGGTGTGTCTCCAGCCTCGAGCTCCTGACACCTTCCTTGGCCAGTCTCCCTAGGTAACCGTTTTTTTTTACATCCCGACAGCCTTCTGTCGGAGGGATGTCGGAGCATCTCCCAAGGAAGTGTCACTGGCCAGCTTTCAAGTCGGTACGATAGATTACCAGAAGGATTTGATAGCTTCACGACCGCTGTGTGAGAAAGAGCCAGTATTGGTTCCTTATCTTGGGTTTATCTTTGTGCTGTAACCGTGACTCCAGATTTTGCTTTGTTCCCAGTTCTTTCACTTTTTCTCAACTCTGTTTACCCATGTTATCCTGTGTAATGGAAACATTCACCTAAAAACAAAGGAAGAAAAAAACCCCACAGTAACTAGCACTGGCAACAACAGTTACAAGATTTTTTTATTTGTTATGATGAAGAACGAACCTACAGAATTGAGATCCTGTTGTCTTGACTTAGCCCCCCCACCCCAGTCTGCTAATTTACATGGATTCAGTTGGAATTAAGAATGAGCAGAAGCCTTGAGTCTTGTGTATTGTTGCATGCTAGAGAGTAAAATATTGTACATTGTGTGATGAAGTGAAAAGTGGTAACCGGTAACTTTTTCAGTCATCTAAGTTCACCACAAAGCAAATGTAATAACATGAGTAGGAGTTTATTTCGTGCTTTTGCTCTGAGGTTAAGCTCTCATAGTAAACACCTTGAAAATGATATATAAATAATTCTGATAATTTTCCATTTGTGGACAGCTGCAGTATGCTATGAAGGTCTTTTTTGCTTACGTGTTTTTGGAAGATAATTAAAGTTTCCATAAAATAAGGAATTGTAATGATAGTACAGTATTTTTTAGTTTCAAGATAATTTTATATCTTGGTGGGATTAAAGCACAGTGGATAGGAGCATGGGTTCTGGAATTCCTTTAAGATGTTAATTGTACATAATATAAGGTTTTTATTATATATTATCTATAAAGTGTTTTTGAGCAGTTTGCAGATTTTTATTTTATTCATCATTTGTTATTAAGAAAAAGATCACCATCTGATTTTTGCTTATGTATGTATGTATGTTAAGCACCTAAAACAAAGTCTGACACAAAGTAGGTACTCAATAAATATATGTTGTTAAATAAATGTCTATTATGGGCATCTTTTTAGGTTCTAGGATGCAGCAAAGAATAAAAACGATAAAGCTTTGCTCTCATTGAACCTACGTTTCAGTGAACCTTACATTTTAACAATGCTAAGATATTACTATTGAAACCTTACTAGGAATGCTTTTAAAATGTAATGGAAACCTATACGGATAATCAGTTGCATCGGAGAACAAATAGGTGGATTCTGTGTTTATAGGCATGTTTTATGGGCCCAGTATATGATGTTAATAGTGCTTGCTCTTTTTGATTTTTTTTTTTTTTTTTTTTTACAAAATAAGATGGTATCGTTAACTATAATAATTTAATTATGATAAATTGGGTTGAAATATATGAAACTGCCCTAAATTATGTAGGACAAAACAGTTGAATTTCGGTAATTTCAGTGGTTCAATTTAATAAAAGCTCTTGTGAGTTTTCTGTTGAAGTTAGGAAGGTGCCTTTTTCCCCTTTCTCCTCCTCCGCTCTCCCCTAAGAGATCACACTTTGCAGATATCAAACTCTGAGTCTTAAGGTTACCATTTAATTCATTCATCTATGCTTTCATTCTATAAACATATAGAAGTTAAAGTCTAGTACTTTGCAGATGCCTAAAAAATATTATATTGCAGTATCCTGTAAGAAATAGTCAAAAGTTTGCTTAATGTGTCAGAGTAATTGAGTAAATCTTGTATTCTGGCATTAGATATGTTTCTAGTTGAAACCAGTTACCAGACATTAATCTTGGCTGTAAAACTAGAAAATATATGGACTCTTGAAAAATTCCGTTGAATATGATCTTACTCTTTTTTTAATAACTTTTACATTATTTGTATGTAATCATATACCATTTATATTACTTTTGATCTTATGGGTCTTTATGCTTCTTAAATATTCAGTCAATAGATGAGGTATTAGGCTCAAACACTGTACTTTGAAACCAAATATAAGTTATTTATGTTTTTGTATAATCAATATCTGACAACTCTAAATTGTGTGGGTAATTTTAGCAAAGCTTAATTCCTTTTCATCTAAAAGTCGAGCCCTACAAATCTAAGGATAATAGAGGTAGTTCTAGACTTGGGAGAGTTCTAATCTCTTATAAGCCTTTTTTGTTTGTAAAACGAAGACATGGTAAAATCTTAGCAGATTTTATCCTTGTGTATAGTATTGTCATTCCCTTCATAACCCTGATAAATGCTTATAAAAATTGTGACTGAGATCAGACTGTCTGTTCCTCTTATGGATTGTTGACTTATTAAATCTTAGTACTGCCCTCTAAAACTTAATTGGAAGATTGGTTGCTCTTCAGTGTAGCTCAGGCGTCCCCAGACTTTTTACACAGGGGGCCAGTTCACTGTCCCTCAGACCGTTGGAGGGCCGCTACATACTGTGCTCCTCTCACTGACCACCAATGAAAGAGGTGCCCCTTCCTGAAGTGCAGCGGGAGGCCGGATAAATGGCCTCAGGGGGCCGCATGCAGCCTGCAGGCCATAGTTTGGGGATGCCTGCTATAGCACTTGGTTTAAAGACAGTCATGTCTCATCAAAATTTCTGTTTTGTTGGCTGGGCGCGGTGGCTCACACTTGTAATCCTAGCACTTTGGGAGGCCGAGGTGGTTGGATCACCTGAGGTCAGGAGTTCAAGACCAGCCTGGCCATCATGGTGAAAACCCATCTTTAAAAAATAAAGAAAGAAAAACTGTTCTGTTTATCTTCTTCTAGTATAAATGTATACTAGTTTACTGAATAATTCTTCATCTTTATTTATCTAACATTTATTGCTTTGTGGTACTGAGTTGCCAAATATTTTAATAGACAGTATTATTGGAGAGGACTGTGTTTGAATCCTTGCTTTGTTTCTTTTTAGCTCTATGATTTGGGGAGTTTACTTAATCTGAACCTTAATTTTCTCTGCTGTGAAAAAATGAGCTATTAAATATGTAACTACCTAAATTATATTAAATATTAAATGATGTAATATATATGTAAAGCATTTAACTAAATACCTGATGCATAGGAGGCCCTCTCAGTATGTGTGTTTGTTAAATGAGGAAAATCACAAAAAACATGTTAATAGGTCCAGTATAGGTAAAACATAGCATGCTTGGGAGGAGAGAAAGAAATATTGAAGCCAAGAAATAAAGGACTTTAAAGGTGAAAGGGATTCATCAGCAGTGCCTCAGACTGTAGAAAGGCCTGGTAGGATGGGGATTCAAAAGAGGGCTTCAGATTTGACAATTAGTAAATTCATGGTAATTCATTTTTAAAGTTTTTATTGTCTCCTTATTAAACAAAGTTTTCCTGATTATTCATACTTCTCCAAGACAGCATTGTGACCATCTCTTTGCCCTTACTCATTTTATCTTAATTGTGCTTATCACCATGTACTATTTTATATATTTGTTTTATTTATTTTCTTCCCTATTAGATCAGTGAAAACTCTATAAGATCAGTCTTTGTTTTTTTATCATCCTTATATCCCTGCCTCCTAGAACAGTTTCTGCCTCATGCTGGGTGCTCAACAAATACTGAATCAAGGAATGGATGTATTTTTTTTTTTTTTTAGGCAAGAGTTTCGCTCTTGTTGCCCAGGCTAGAGAGCAATGCCATGATCTCTGCTCACCGCAAACTCTGCTTCCCAGGTTGAAGCAATTCTCCTGCCTCAGCCTCCTGAGTAGGTGGGATTACAGGCATATGCCACCACACCCAGGTAATTTTGTATTTTTAGTACAGATGGGGTTTCTCCATGTTGGTCAGGCTGGTCTCGAACTCCCGACCTCAGGTGATCCACCTGCCTTGGCCTCCCAAAGTGCTGGGATTATAGGCGTGAGCCACTGCGTCTGGTAGAATGGATTTATTTCAATACAGTGGTTGGCCTGATAAAGTCTGCCTGCAATACAGACAGTGAGTAAATGAGAAGTAGGGAAGGACTAAGCAGAAAATGTAAATCAGTGTTTCAATAAAATCTGCTCCTTAGGACACTGGTGGAGGACACTGGTCTTAGGAGTACAAAGGATTGCTGATAAAATAAATTTGGGGAAATAACAACACACTAAGTCGCTCTCTCTCTCTCTCTCTCTCTCTCTCAGACTAAGGAAGTCTGCTCTAAGAGAACCCATTTAACTTTATTAATCTACCATTTTCCAAACATTTGGCCATGAAGCAAGGGATTCGAGAGTAATTCGTAGTATAAATATGGGTCATGTTCAGACTGGGTAAAAAGGGAAATGCAGCCAGGAATTAGCTTATTAAGAAAAGCAAGTCGCTCTGAGATCAAGATACTAACTTAGAGAAAGGTAGAAGGTAGAATTCTATGGTTCAACAGGCAACTTGAGTGTTTTATAGTCCGGAGTTGGTTATTTAGGCAGCAGTTTTGCCAAACTAGAGCACTAAAATGTGCTAGTGGAAAGGTGAAAGGTGACTAAAATACTGTGAAAAATGAGGTTGTATGTTAA